AGCTGCTTCTACCCAGTGCTCTCACCTTGAACCTTCAATGTCCCAATCTGTTCCTCTCTCCCTTTCAGCCTCTTCACTCTTAACCTATTTTCCATCCATTCTTCTTTAACTCTTTCTCTTCATGGTCATCTTTGTACCGCTCCCTGACTTGGCCCATTTCTCAGTATTTATTTTCCTCTCCATCTTTCTCTTTCCATATATTTTCTCTCAATTTTTGTCTCTGATCCTTGAGAGGTTTTTCAGTTTCTCTCTTCTCTGCTGTGTTTTACACTTCCTGCCCTTCTATCTCTGTTTCTCCCACTTTACCTTGCCCTCTCAAATGCCAATACTATTTCAAATTTTGCCTCTCTTGTATGGTTTCATCCTCCAGGTTCCCCTCTCTCATCATCTCCAAAACTCTCCTCTTGGATGTTGTCTACAGTACCCAGGACCTCCAACTGGACAGCTCCATAATGAAGGTCTCCCGTGTGAACCTGACATAACATGTTATTTCCAAGTTCCTCTTAATTGTTCTATGAAATTAATTGAAAATTATCCCCCATGCCAACCTGAGAGGTAGGATTTTACGTTCTTCTTGGAAAACTGGATCCATTCAAGTAATTTGTCATCTATTACCCCCTGTCTATCTTTTCCATTTTCTCTTTTATATTCTCCATCGATGGATACTCTCTCACTCAGGAGCTCAGACACCTTTACTCATTGTCTTTCTCACATCTGTGGGCAGGTAAGGACAGGGAGAAATGGGGGCTAGCAGAGGCCTAGGATAGGAAACAGAATGTAGGCTTTGTTTCCATGAAGACAAGAAAACAAAGCTTTAATATGGAATTAATCAATTAAATGATAGTTACCTTGTCCATCACATGGCAGTAAGCTGGGTCTATCTTCTAACCCTCTAACATTATTCATTTGGAGAGGTAAGCATTCACAGGTCACTGGAGCAACAAGAAAATGACAGAAGTCAGACAATGACCAGAGAAGAGACCTCTGTGTGCTCAAGCTGAACTCTGATGTTCAAGCTCCAAGGACCCCACCTGAGGCTCAACAGAGCCTTGCTCATCTTTTTCACTGAGATGCACGTATCTTAAGTGCAAAATAGCTACGTAACTAATATCACAGTTAAAAGTTGGAACTTTTCCACCATGCCAGAAAGTTCCCTTGTGCTGCTTTCCAGTCAGTTTCTACCCACTATAAGCAACCACTGTTTTGATTTCTGTCACTCTTAATAAGTCCTTCCTTTCTGGTACTGTACTTGTCTGTACTGATGCTCAGACAAATAGGATCACACAGCATGTACACTTCTGACTGGCTTCTTTTGCTCAACATAGTGTTTTTGGGATTCATGCATGTCATTACATATACCAGTAGTTCATTCCTTTATTTTGATTAACAGTATCCCAGTCTATAAATATATCATAGTTTGTTTATTTACTCTCCTATTACTGGGCATTTAGATTTGTTCTAGATTTTAACTGTTAGGAGTAAAGCTACTATAAACATTTTTGTATAAATCTTTGTGCTAACATATGTTTTCATTTCTCATGAATAGATACCTAGGAGTGGAACTGCTGAGTCATAGGTTAGATTTAACTTTATGAGAGACCACCAAACAGTTTTCCAAAGAGGTCACAATACTTTATATTCCTACCAACAATACATATATGGGAGTTCTAATTGCTTCATATTCTCACCAACATTTGGTATTGTCAGTCTTTTTAATTTTAGCGATTCTAGTGGATGAATGGTAGCCCATTGTGGTTTTAGTTTGCATTTCCCTGATGATTAATGACATTGTACACTTCATGTTCTTATTAGCTATGTTATATCTTCTGCAGCCAAGTGTCTGTTCAAGTGTTTTGTCCATTTTTTGAATTGGTGGTGTGTCTTTTTATTATCTGTTTGTGGGAGTTCTACCCAGATTGTACGGTCTGGATACAATCCCTTGTCAGATATGTGTATTGCAAATATTTTCTCTCAGTCTATAACTTGCCTTTTCTTGTTCTTAGTGGTGTCTCTGGATTAAAGCAGAAGCTTTAAATTTTGATAAAGTCAGTTTACTAAGTTTTTCTTTTATGATTCATGCTTTTTGTGTCCTATGTAACAAATTTTTGCCTACACTAAGTTTGCAAAGATACATTCCTGTGTTTTCTTCTAGAAGCTTGATAGTTTTAGCCATAACTTTTAGCTTTGTGATCCAACTTGAATTATTTTTCATGAATGGTGTGACGTAGGAGAGGACGTTTGTTTTTTCCATGTTTGCTCTGCCTATTTTTTGGTCTTTCTACAACTCATTCTACTTTCTCCTTTCTCATATTTCTACTTCTAGTCCTACGAAGTATTTGTGCAGCCTTGATTCTGAGGGCATCTCTCTCCTTGGCGATTCTTGGCACCTTGTGTTTCTGCCTCTCTCTTCCTTGGAGGCTTCTAGCTCTTTCCCATTTGTCTGTCTAGTTTTTCCCTTCTAGCTCTTTCTATACCTAAGCCTTTCCAGTGTCCTACCCTCTCTGTCTCTTTGTGGTTTTTTTCCTTTTTCCCTTTGCCACAGAAACCAGACACTCTTTTTGCTAAATAAATGTCTCCTTGCCTCAAGTTCTGGTCTACTCTTCTGCCCCCATTCATGGCTCGTTGGGGCCACCTTTCTGAATTATGACACATGACACAGCCCTTACCTTCTCTCTGTATATGCTACAGTCACTCACATTCATCCAGGAAAATGCTGGACTGTCAGTCAACCTTACCTGCTTGTTCAGATTCTTGGGCACATTCATTTGTCATTTTCTGGGTTCTTATTGTACCATGTGGGTCACGAAATGAATCTGCTTCCCTTGTACTCATCTGCTGTCCATCACTGAGATGCTCTGGGGTTCTAGCTCTAGGTAGGGCGTTACCTAGATCACATTAGAAATGTTAAAGAATTTGTTCCCCTTCCCTTCATGATGACCCTCTTTTACTCTTTACTAATAACTATTACTTATCCTTCCACCACCCTATTCTCATTCTCACTACCCTCAGTAGTAGGTGAATCTCCAAATATATTTTTCATATCCTTTGTACTTTTTTTATCAAGGTATAATTGATATGTAACATTATATTAGTTTCAGGTGTACAACATAATGATTCGATATTTGTATACATTGTGAAACAATCACAAGTCGAGTTAATATCTGTCACCATATATAGCTAAAAAAGTTTTTTCTTGTAATGAGGCCTGTTAAGATTTACTCTCTCAGCAACCTTCAAATATGCAATACAGTATTATTAACTATAGTCACTACACTGTACATTACATGCCCATGACTTATTTATTTTATAACTATAAGTTTGTACCTCTTGACTCCCTATACTTTGTACTTTTTAAGGTACATTTTATACTTTTAGCAATTTGTCTTTATTCAAAAGAATAAGTATGATTATTACTCATATAGATTGACATTTTATAAAAATGTATTAATTAGCTCTAAATAGATTTAAATAGATCCAAATTTTATTCAAATATATTAATATATTTTTAAAATATGGACTACCTGAGGTAGAAATCCAAATTAAAGGATGCATGTTGCCGGCATTCTACAAGGCTTGTTATATTCTTATAGTTTTCTTACTTTGGTCATTTCCAAGGAAAAAATGTCAACATTTAAAGTAAATAAATTTATTATAAACCATTTGGCTTAAGGATAGAGACCTTTTCTTGAGCTTAAAGACTGTTTTGCTCACTGCTACTCTAATCTAGGAAATAACTTTCTTTTCAGTGGGTGTCTGAGGAGAAAAATCTCAAAATTTAGAACATTGACTAAATGTGTGTTGGTGGAGTGAGATACACATTATAATAATAGCAGTAAACAGCAATTACTCTCTGTCACGAATTACTGTAAGTGCTTCACATAAATTAAATCATGTAATTCCCACAACCTTATTTTAGATATAGATGTGGATATAGATTTGTAGATGAGAAAACTGAAACACAGAAGTAAAGTAACTTGCCCAAGTAAGCAAGTCATAGAGTCAAGATCTGAAGCAATGAGGCCTCAGAATCTTTGCTCTTCACTGATGTGGAGGAGAGAGTTTGAGTTCCAGACAGGCTAATTTCTAGTTGTGTGACCTTTCACAAATCACTAACTATCCTCAAGCCTCAGTTTCTTCTCCTGAAAAATGGGAATAACAAAACCCTTATGATAGAATTGTTAAGAAGATTAAGTAAGATGTTACTTGTAAAGGGATATCTGGGTTATAGTAACTTAGCAAGAATTCATAATTTTCAGTATTAATGTCTTACATGTTATAATGTAATAATTAATTATTGGTAATAATATGAATGAAAAGATGACTGAAAAGCTAGAAATAGTGGTTATCAGTTACTACTAAAAGGACATAGCTCATATGTGAGCATTAAACGCGTGGATCCACATGAAGTGCTGATGTTATGCCTGGTGGCCCACGAAAGTAGGTGTTGTTACTACGTCATTGTTGTATTATTACTGCCCTTGATTCTCTTCTCCTGTCTCTTACTTCCTTTCCTTTTTTCTCTCTTTCTTTTCTACACAGCACCACTCCTTCCACATTCTCTTCTACACACAATTACTCACTCTCTTCATCTATTTTATTGTGAGTAATATTTACATCCATTCCTTCTTTTGACAAACCAAAGTCTCCCTCTTTGGACTTGTCATATAGGACCAAACCCTTACTCCTTTCCAGATCCACTGAATGCCTAAGTCACAACTACTGCAGTCAGTTCTTCCCCTTAATTCTGGCTCGTGGTAGCACTGAGATCTTCCATGTTGGGTTCATGTTCCATCTTTTTAGTTGTCATATCTGCCTGGCAATATTCTTAGATTCAACATGGTTGCTTCACTGGGAACCGATACAACATGCGCCTGCTCTGGCTTCCTTGTCTCCTTCTGCATCCTTTCCCCAGGGCACACTCTCCACTCAGGAGCTCAGTCTCTTGATCTCTGATCTCCTTTCCTCTTAGTGGATGAGAAAATAAGTTTCTATCAAGTCATAATTACCTTGTTCATGGTTTAATTGGAAGGTGAGCATCTCCTTTGTCTCTTCCTCATCAGTGATTTGATATTGAAAGTAGTCTTGAATCACTGAGAAGAGGAAGGAAAATGCAATTATAGATCTCAGGCAGTGACCAAGAGCTGCATCTAATAATTACAGACCCAGGCACATCTTTGACTCCAGTAGTTCAGGGGGAATCTTCCAGCCCTCAGATAACCCTGGGCTTCAGTGGGTGTTGCATGGCCTGTGACTTGATGTTGCTCCTGGAACCCTATAGCTGTTCCACATAGAGAGGCACCTTTCAAGATTTAAAAAAGGATGGATAGGGGAAACATTGTAAATAGTGGTTAACCCCCTTCAAATTGATCAGAAAATAGTGAAAGCCAATTTAAAATAAATAATATATGTGGAAAGTAGTTTGTAAATTCTACATGCAACCAGGAACAGGGAAGAAGCAGAGGAATTTCTTCAGGAGAAAGGTAATGTTACAGAGAAATAGACCTACATTAAAACAAATGAAAGCCTCAACATCTTTTAAGGATGGAGATATTAAAAGAAAAAGAAGGAAGGAAGGAAGGGAGGGAGGGAGAGAGAGAGAGAGGAAACAAAGGAAGGGAGGAAGGAAGGGAGGGAGGGAGAGAGAGAGAAAGAAAGAAGGAATGAACAAGAAAGAAAAAAAGAAAGGAAGAAAGAAAGAAAAAAAGAAGGGGATCTTTGGTTTAATTGGGTCAGGGAAGATGATCTTGTTACAGAGACAGACAAGTAAAGAGGAAATAGTACTTCCTGGGGCTGGTGGGTGGTGAGAGAAACAAAGAAAAGACACTCTGAAAGGCACAAACAGGAAGTGAATCTCATTGTTGTAACAGTGACCCAGGGAGGCGGTAACAAGAAAAGTGCAGGAAACCAGCCCAGAGCACCCCGGCTTCAGAGCTGCATTTCAAAGTGACTCAACAAACGTAGATGGAAAAGCAAATCTCATAAGACATGAGAAAAAAACACCCAAGAAATGTAGAAGGATGCCAGCAAAGAAGGACGGATGATGGTGGCACAGCTCCTGAGGGCAATACCCAGTGAGGGCTCACAGCTGTGGGGAAGGAGTGAAGGTAGAGAGGATCTATGGGAACAACAGATGGTTTTCCCATCCCCAAGACAAGTTGACTTCATGCCCAGGCAAAGTCTGCAGGAAGATATGGGGGGGTAGATGCTGTGTGGGTCAGATCTAGAGAACATAAGGGGGGCCCCCTGAGCAAAGGCATCTCAATGAAGCGTTGGGACACCCTCCTATCAGCTTCTTGGCTGTGGACCTCTGACTCTCAGTTCCTGTAGACAGCAGAGTTCAGAAGGCACCAGCAGCGACCTCCTCCGGGGGCAGGTGGGCAGCTGCGCTGGGCCAGACTGTGGGCAGTGCAGCTCCTGGGCAGCGGCAAGACTCAGGTGTGGGTCACCCCAGCTTGGGGAGCCCTGGAAACTAACACATGTGATGGGGGTGCTGAGGCCTGGGGAGGGGGATTCCCACAATCCATGGAGAGGATCAGAGCCCCTGAGATGTGGGAAGTAAAGGTAACTGCCATTCCCTTCATAACCACGGCATGGGGACATCCTGGTTACAAATATAATATTGACTTGAAATTTGTGGCTAGGTATTTGACTTCACTTTTTTCCTTTCTCTGACTTGGATATATCATAGTGTGGAAATGAGATAACCCTTATTTTAATCAAGGTATGGTTTTCACAAATCAATACATCCCATTCTTATACTGACTTCTTTTACTTTTCTCTGCTTAAAAATCATTGATTGCTTCTTTATTTCCCAAATAATAAACTTTAAATTCCTTGGCACAGAGCATTAGACCCTCAAAATCCCCTCCAAATTCCCTCTCCAGAATTAGCTTCCAAACACTCCATCCCACACTATCTTTCAGCCACATCATTCTGCAGTTCCACCATTCCGTTCACACTTTGTAGCTTTCACATGTTGCCCCATCCCCCATTGCACAAGTATGTGCTGGGCTTCTCTTGTGACCTCTCCATTCTTTGTTTGGAGAAGTAATTTGGCACAGGACTGCACTGAATGACAAATTTCCTAATACAAAGAAAATCTTTTCATCTTTGAGCATGTCTGCAAGTATCTGAGAGGGCTTCCTCCTTTCCTACAAAAGGGACAAAATTCACGCCTTCCTCCAAAAAAGTAGAGACTCAAATCCTATGTTTCACAGCACCAAATTCAAGTCCTGGCTGAGCAATCATTTGTGGGATTACGTGGTTAACGTCCGTCCCACCACTATGTGTAAGCTCCATGAGGACACAGGTCATGTGTGTTTTCTTCACCATTGTATTCTCTCTGTGCCTGCCACCAAGTAGTCACTCAAGAAAATAATCATCAAATATGAATGAAGAGGGAATGAATAAGTCAGTGATTGAAATGGACTTGAATCCCCAAAAGTAGTTGAAAGCTATAATTACCATTTTGGAAGCTTCTGCAAATCTCAAGTAAATCAGGATAGGCCCTCAGGTTAACCTTGCTGAACAGTGCATCCAGAACACTCTTGTCAAATGTCTTCTCCAGTTCACTGAGAACATCATACACCACTCTCTCCACTGGGACCAGATTTCTACAGGCTTCTTGAAAATGCTTTAAAATATTGAATAGAGAAGTAGGTAGCTATGGATTTACAGGTTATAGAAGACTCGCGTCGTAGATAGACCATTTGTTCTCTTCTGAAATGTTAGAATGTTACATATATTTCAATTACTTCTTAAATAGCCTCCATCATAAAAATAGACTCTTATTTTGCGAACCTGATTCTCTGACATTGGCGTACACTTGAGAGAGCAACTTTGAAGAAAAAAGTGGGTTCAGAGTTGAATGTTGTGTGGGGGCTTTAAGAGCCCAGACAGGACACTTTAGGAGTGGTCCTGACAGGTAATGAGAGGCCATTTTGTTGACTAGACAATAACCACATTCAGGCCTCCCACCTGAAGGGGTCCAGGAAACCAGGCGACCACCCTCCCCTGCTGTGGACCTGGCCAAAGGGCAAAGAAAATTCACAAAAACAAAGAGAAGGCTTGTCCTCAGTATCCCCAGGAAGACCTACCACTAAACTTTACCTGCATTCCAAAGCTCCAGAAATATCTCAAGAACAAGAAATGATTTGGAGAGAGAGCAGCAAGCATCTGCTTCCAACGTTACCCTAACGTGACACAACCTCTCTGTGAGTTTCAATAATTTCAGGTTCAAGTATGTAAAATAAGAGGGCTTTGTAGTGAAACGTAGCCCCACTCACTTATTTACTTTAATTTTAGTTATTGTTATTATAGTGTATAAATGTACCTAAGATGCTCTGTACCTGTGTAGTGTTCCCATGTCTAATCCCGCCACATCTCCATCTCCATGCCTCTCTACCAACATTTACCACAGAAGAAGGAATGTCTTCTGTGATGCCACTTCTCCTGTCAACCCCTAACTTATAGGATGGTGAAGGTCCCCCCTCATAGAAGCCCTTTAGCCTGTTTGTGGCATCCTGAGTTTGGCATAATATAGTGTGGGGATGGTTTTCATGGGGATATTCCCCTCACTTACTTCATACATCTGCTCAGGGATGAAGCCACGGTCCCGGAGGCCCATAAGGAGAGGAAATGGTTTTGTTATTGCACTTGCAATCTCCACCTTATTCTCTTTGAAGAGCCTGAAAATGAGATCATAGAAAAACTGCTCCTCTGAGTTCTGGTCCTCTGGGTTCTGATCCCCTGGGAACATCCTGAGAAACAAAACACATTATGAAAATAGACATGGAGTTTCCAAGAGGCTTGAGGTGGCTGTAAGATTTTAGACATGAAAGATAGTCAATGGAGAGCCAACATGTGTAAAATGGTGTTCTTGTGGAAGGACCAGAGTAAATACAATTTATTTACTTAGAGAATAATCAAGGGTGCAAAAGAAGAAAACACTGAGCGTAAGAAAGACTTGTACATAGAAGAGAAAGAGTTCACCCTGTGCTAATCAAAACTACTATAAAAAGACTTTCATCTGAACCCTCTAGGGAAAATATTGAATTGAAAAACCTTAAAATCTTCATAGGAACTGATATGATACCGCAATGGTTAATTTTATGTGTCAACTTGGAAGGTGTTTTGGGATGAGATTAACATTTAAATTGGTAAGGTTTGAGTAAGCAATTTGCCCTCCATAATGGGGATGGGCCTCCTCCAATCAGCTGAAAGCATCAATAGAAGAAAAAGACCAGCCTCCTCAAGTAAAAAGGAATTCTCTAGCAGACTGCTTTTAGACTGGAACTGTACCATTGGCTCTGCTGGGTCTCCAGCCTGCTGGCCCACACTGCATGTTTTGGACTTGCCAGACTCCACAATCACATGAGCCAATTCCTTATAATCTCTCTCTCTCTCTTATTTACACACACACACACATCCTATAGGTTCTGTTTCTCTGGAGAACCCTGACTAATACAGATTTTTTAAAAAAGTTTACAGACAAAGAAATAAAAAGTCAACTGAGATAATATTACAGAAGCTACCACTGAACTGCAAGTCTTCTCAGTTAATAACAACTAGAAGAAATCTTGAGAAAATGTAAAGGAGATAGACCTCTCCCATCTGTAACTGCAGAGGCAGGAATGGCATTCCACATCATAAAATTACTCAAAGACTCTCCTCTGATAAGGTTTACAGTTAACAATAGTCACAAGAATACGTCTTTTTCTTGCAATATAGAGACTTGCATGAATATTCAAAACTAGGACAGGTTGTTCTGTATCTAACCTGCCTGTGGAAGTGTTGTATACATGGACACCTGTAAGACCCTTGGATTTCAAACATTATGGCCATGGCTGGGAAAAATAATTTTTAAGCTCAAAAAGCTTTGTATTTCTGATTCTTACTTGATAAATTGTTCCCCTTGCTGATAATGTCTTGATAAACTTCTCTATATTTCTAAAAGGTGTAAAGAATTGTAGGGTTTTTTTAATCCCACCATAAGAGGGTCATTGGGACTTCCCATTCTCTAAATATGCATTGGGATAGAATAAAACCCATTTGTTCATTGAATTCCTTAAAAGAAGAAAAAGACTTCTGGTTAAAGATAGCTAATTAAAGACAAGTGTTTTTCTCCTCTCCCACTAGAGAGTCCCCTAAAATGATAGTAAAGGAATTAAAGTCACAATGAGAAAGAGAAGTGGATTAGATGAGAAATTTTACAAAAGTCTGAAAGAGAAGAAGTGGTCAGAGTGCTGACTACTATTGCTGGTGGAGGATGTTCCCAGAGGTCCGAGAAGGGTCCAGTGTGTCTTGCAGGCCCCTGGACAGGTAGTGGAGTTTGGGAGGGAGACACAAGGATGAAAACAGAAGTCTTGTTTGAAAGGCAAAATACAAAACACTCTACTCCCCAACTCGTCTGTGACCCCACCACACAGATCGCCTGCCTCTAGGCAGGAGACTAGAGGTTTCTTCTTAAGAAAAATGTATGACTCAGAAAAAAGACTTTCACTTTCAGGGATTTGGGATTCTCCCAGTAAAGCCCACAGCTCATCTCATTAAATGGAGTTCCAAGCTAGCTTTTCAGTGCCTTGCCCTTAAGTATGAACAAACAATAACAGGCCACAGACATTTGAGGAAACCTACAACAGGAAGGAGTGAAACCAAGATGAGCAGAGAGTAAAAATGACTCCAGCAGAAATAGAAATATTACAGAAGAGCGTTTCTAAAAGACAAATATTGTCATACAGACAGGAGAATATATTGTGCCCAGGATGCCATGAAGAAAAGACCAGAAAATAAGACAGTGAGGCTGGGAATTAAAAAAGATTGCTGAAAATTTTTTTAAAAGGTTAACTAAAATGGTTGTAAAATAAAGGGAAAAAAATTTGCCCAGAACATAGCTGAAAAAAATGCTAACGGAAAAAAATGAAAAGTAAATTTGAAATCCTAAATGTCTAAAATAGTTATGCAAGTCTATAGACTCAGAGGTAGAAGGAAATGACAAAAAATGTACACTCCGTGCAATTATTCATGTGCGAAGGCAAACTGGTTGTGCAAGGGCTCAGAAAATATATTCCATTCATGCAGCCTCTGTGTTGGCCACACCATTTTCAACGTTCAATGTTCTTTACTTCTGCCTCCTTGGTCGCATGGGTATCGCTTTAGCAGAATTCAGAGCCAACACATGGTTAGCCATGCTCACTGTTCCTGTGCTATGGAGGCTGTCATTTCAGATGGCGACTGCTCATCAGCCAGAGACCGAGTCCAGGGTGAAGGTTCCCTAAAGCAGAGGCCAGTGACGCACTGAGATTTTGGAATCATTTGTTCCAATAGGATAATCTACCCCATTCTTACTGACATACTCTCTGGGACAAATTATTTGATGATGTACTACAATAAGAGAATCAAGAAATCAATACCAGCAAAGTTCTGCTATAAAAGCAGTGGAAGGCATCACTAAAACCAGTTAAAATATTGATATCCAGAAATCGTGAATTTTATTTGAAAACAAAAGCACATCTCAAAAATTACTTTAAAACAGTGATTCTCAAAGTGTGGGCCAGGGACATTCGGGACTGTACAAGACCCTTTCAGCTGCCACCAAAGTCAAAGCTGTTTTCATAATGATACTAAGATGTTATTTACTCTTTTTCTCTCTTATCCCCTCACAAGTGTATGGTGGAATTTTCCAGAGAATACATGGCCTATGGTATCACAACAGATTGAATGCAGAAGCAGATAGGAGCATCCAGTCGTCTTCTACTGAACCATCTATTAAAAGAAATTTGCAAAAATGTAAAGCATTCCTAATCTTACTATTTATTTTATTTTGAAAAGCACAGTTGTTTCTCATAAAATGTCATTTATGTTAACAGATAATGAGTTCATTATTATTATTTTTAAATGAATACATAAATATTTTAAGTGTTCAAACTTTAATTTCTAATATGGCAAATATCAATAGATATAACCCATATGAACAAAAGCTAGCTCTTTGGGGTTCTCAATATTTAAGAATATAGATGGATCCTGAAACCAAAATATTTGAGAAGCACTGTTCTAGAAAGAAAGGATAATACTTCATGTAATAGTAAAATTATAATAATTTTAATCTACAACTTCAGATTATATTAAAATTTTTAACAAATTGAATGGGGCAAGAAAAAAACTGAGTTAAATGATTTATTTCAAAGATGATAAACTCAAATGACATGCTTTCACATTTGATGATATCACTTAGAGAAATATATATTAGAGAATTCATTAGAAAACCTAAGGGTAAAAAGTAGAGTCAAAATGATACTATAAATCTCATAAAAGGATAAAAGTATACATTTTTCTTAAACAGAGAAAACGAAGAGGCATAAGATACAAGAAGTGCCAAAAAATTTATAAGCAAGAAGATATATGTCATTTAAAACAGATTAAATTACCATCTTAAAGTACAAATGGTCAAAATAGAATCTAACTACGAAAGACACAACAAAAAGTGACATTAAAAAAAGTGACACATAGGGACAGAGATTGGATTGGTGGTTACCAGAGGGTAAGGGGGGAGGGAGGAGGGTGAAAGGGATAATTTGGTACATGTGTGTGGTGGTGGGTTGTGATGTAATCTATGCAGAAATAGAAGTATAATGATGTACACCTGAAATTTATACAATGTTATAAACCAATGTTACTGCAATAAACAAAAAATTAAAAAATAAATAAATAAATAAATAAAATAAAACGTTAAAAAAAAAAACAAAGCAGATTAGCCCTAACTTTTCTTAATTAAAATAATAATTATAATACTCAGACCATGAAGAAGGCACGTAGCCTTCTCCCCAGAATATGTTAACATATAAAGAAAGACTATGAGATTTAATGAGGTCTATTGTTTGACCCAATTAAATCCTCAGTCTCCTGTATCTCAGCCTCAACTTGGCCTCTGGAGCTCATAAATAGTTACTGGGATCTGCTCATTGACAAGGCCACTGTAGAAAATGGGTTTCTTGCCCTCACTGTATATTATGATTGACAGCATAATCTGCAAGAATGTTGTGGTGTCAGGAATGCCAGGATATATGTGAAATTTCAATATTGCCTACCAGACTTCTCTTAATTATGATAGAGTACCAGGAGTTATCGTTATGGAGATGCAAAATTGTGCAGGATGGAACCAGCTCTTTTTCTTAACATTTAGAATAGAAATGTATCAGAGTGCACTGAAATGTGAGTTAGTTTTTTTTCAGGTGTGTGTGGGGGGCAGGTGTGTACTCACCTGTTAAGTCACAATGTAAAAATCTATATTTTGCTGTGTACTGTAGCCAAAAAAAAAATGGAAAAACACTGCTACATCTGACCTACATCACTCATTCTTAAATTTTATGTGTCACAAAGCTTTTTAAAAAGATAAGTAAAGTCATGAAACTGCTTCTGAGAAAACGTGTATAAAATCAAAATTTTGCATACAATCTCATTTAGTGTCTGGGCCCCACATGAACATCAATAACACAGGCTAACTCTTTCTTTTTGTAATGGAAACTTAGAAAGGTTATTCCCTGTGCATGGAAAAGGTTGAGGAGGTAATGAAACCTCTCTTAAATAGACACACACACACACACTCACCAAACAAAAAACCTAAAAGGAAAAGAATCCTGTAAGTAAAACATAATTCGGAGGGACAATTGTTATTACTTCTATTTTATAGAAGAAAAAATTAATGACTGTACAATGCCTAGAACATAGCAGTTGTTCAATAAATACAGTAAATTAAAAAAAA